TCAAAAATTTTCTTTTTCAATTACAAAAAAAAAAAAATTATTTTTATTACAAAAAAAAACAGAAAATGTTAATATTTAACAAATTAAAATTTATTTAAATTAAATGAAAATATTTCAAAATTTCAACAATATGTAATTAAATTTTTCTATACAAATGAAATTTAACTGTAGATTTAATTAATTTTTGACTAAAATTTTTACTATAAATTATAGTTTTACTATAAACAAAATATAATATAAATATATAATTTTACTATAAACAAAATTTAAGTATAGATATAGATTTAATTATGAATTAAATTTAACTACAGTTTAAATTTTGACTGTAAATAAAATTTGACTACAAACAAAATTTGATTATTGGTTAAATTTTATTCTGATTAAATTTTAACAATGAATTAAATTTTACTATATATGAAATTTTACTATAAATATAAAATTTGACTATAAATATTCAAATTGGACTATTAATTAAATTTGACTATAAATATAAAATTTGATTATTAATTAAATTTGACTATAAATATACAAATTGGACTATTAATTAAATTTTACTATAAATATAAAATTTGACTATAAATGTATACAATTTGACTATTCATTAAATTTGACTATAAATATATAATTTTATTATTAATTAAATTTGACTATAGATTAAATTTGACTATAAATTAAATTTGACTATAGATTAATTTTTACTATATATTAAATTTGACTATAGATTAATTTTTACTATATATTAAATTTGACTATAAATTAAATTTGACTATAGATTAATTTTTACTATAGATTAAATTTGACTACAAAGTAAATTTGACTATAATTTAATTTTTACTATTATTTTTGATTTTAAATTAAATTTATTTATAATAAATTCAAAATTTCACTATAAAATTAAAAACTATTTAAAACTATTTTTTCTTAAAAAAATATTTTCATTACTTTCATTTAGAAAAATGCATCGGAACTGGAAAAAACTGTACAGACAGCGACGATTGCTGCTCATTTCTTTATTGTATAAATGAAAAATGCCTAATGGAGTCTCTTGTTCTTGGTAAACATTACAGTGGAAAAAGATGGCGCAAATGGTATAAAATACCTAATACATTTACTATTTTGACTACTAATTGTTTATTACTATTATTTTTAAAAGTATTTTATTAATAATAAAGTGTACAAAAAATACTACTAATATTTAATTTTATAAATAAAGATAATAATTCCAAAATATTTGACTATATAAACAAAATTTTGACTACAAAATGACTACAAAATAAGAAAAAAAAATTTGACTACAAATATAGTGAAAATCAAAGAGAGAAAAGTGTATTTTGACTTTATATTAAATTAAAAACCAAATCGAATTTGACTATAAATGAAATTTGACTAAAAGTAAAATTTGATAGTAAAACAATAAAAATTAAGTGATAGAAATTTGACTATAAGTAAAATATGACTACAAATTCTACTATAAATTAAATTCAAAGACAAATGCATTATGACTAGAAATAAAATATGACTAGAAGTCAAATTTGACTAAAAATATAAAATAAGTATCAGAAATTTGACTATAAGTAAAATTTGACTACAAAGAATAAATATAAGTGATAAAAATTGGAATACAAAGTAGAATTTGACTACAGAGAATGAAAAAAGTGAAAAAAATTGACTATTAGCAAAATTTGACTACAATTTTGACTTTAAATTAAATTAAAAGACAAATCCAATTTGACTATCAATAAATTTTGACTATAAGTAAAATTTGACTAAAAAGAATGAAAATAAGTGACAAAAAATTGACTATAAATAAAATTTGACTACAGAGAATGAAAATAAGTGACAAAAAATTGACTATAAGTAAAATTTGACTACAGAGAATAAATATAATTGATAAAAAATTGGAATAAAAGTAGAATTTGACTACAGAGAATAAAAATAAGTGAAAAAAAATTGACTACTAGCAAAATTTGACTACAAAGAATAAATATAATTGATAAAAAATTGGAATAAAAGTAGAATTTGACTACAGAGAATAAAAATAAGTGAAAAAAAATTGACTACTAGCAAAATTTGACTATAATTTTGACTTTAAATTAAATTAAAAGACAAATCCAATTTGACTATCAATAAATTTTGACTATAAGTAAAATTTGACTAAAAAGAATGAAAATAAGTGACAAAAATTTGACTATAAGTAAAATTTGACTACAGAGAATGAAAATAAGTGAGAATAAATTGACTATAAATAAAATTTGACTATAGAGAATGAAAATAAGTGCCAAAAAATTTGACTATAAGTAAAATTTAACTACAGAGAATAAAAATAAGTGACAAAAAATTTGACTACAATTTTGACTTTAAATTAAATTTAAAGTCATGTCCAGTTTGACTACAATTAAAATTTGACTATGTGTAAAATTTGACTACAAAAAATTAATATAAGTGCCAAAAATTTGACTATAATTCAAAATTTGACTACGAAAAAAAATGTGTGTCAAAAATTTGACTACAGAGAATAGAAATAAGTAACAAAAAAAAACAAAAAAATTGGACTATAACTGAAATAAATAAAAAAATTTGACTACAAAAAAAAATTAAGCCGTTATAATTGCTTATATTTTGAAAATGAAAAACTTTAAGAGAAAAAAAACAAAACATGTGTTTAAAGGAATTTTGTCATTTGCAGAAAAAAACTTTACATTTAATAGTTTTTTCCTTTATAGATAATAATTAATTATTTATAACAATTGTTATCAATACTCTAAACTATATAAATTAGTCATGTACGGTAAAAAAAAATTCATTGTAAATTTAAATTTTGCAAACATAATATTAAAAATAATAAAGGAAAACTAAAGTTGTTGTTTATTTTTATTTATTTATTTTTTTTTCTTAATTTGTTATCAAAAATGAAATTTACTTCGTCGATACTTATTTTTCTTGTCCTTGTTCTATTAACTACTAATTACGTCACTGGTATGTTTAACATTAATAAACATTTTTTTTTTTTGTTTCAGGAGAAAAAAAATATTTTTTTCTATATCTGTAATTTTCAAAAAAATATATTTTTTTCATTTCTGCAATTGTCAAAAAAATATATTTTTTTATTTCTAAAATTTTCAAAAAAAAAAATTTTGAATTTCTTTTTTTTGAAATTTTTATTTTCTATTTTGATAAATTAATTAGTTCAAAAAATTTGAAAATAATTAAAATTTCAAAAAAAAAATCTAATTTCTATTTAAATTCGACAATACTGAAATTTTATCATAAATTTGACTATACAAACTAGAATATAGTACAATTTTTTTTTTAAAAACATTAATTTTGAATTTTTTTATTACAAAATGTAAATTAATATTTTTCAAAAAAAAAATTTGAACTCTCAAAGAATTTTGAAAATAAAAAAAAATATAAATAAAATTTTGACTATTAAAAAAAAATTTTTTTTATTTTTGTTAAAAATTAAAAATTAATTTTTAATGACTAAAAATAAAATAAAATTTTTTCAGAGGGTGCATCTCAAAAACCATGTCAAATTAAAGGGACTTTAGGATATTGTTCAAAAAATCTCTTGAAATGTGATAAGGGACGTAAAATTGGAAATTCTCTAACTTGCTTTCTATTCCCATGCTGTGCTCCAGAAATAATAGTTTCATAAAAAAATTAATTTTAATTAAATAAATTTACTCATAATAAAATTTGACTATAAAAAAAAATTGACTATAAAGGACATTAAAAAAAAATTTCAAAATGTCAAAAATATAAGAGAAATATTACTATAAGAAAAGTTTACTATATAAATTTAATTTGACTATAAGGAAAAAAATTACAAAAAATGAAATTTGACTATAAAAAAAAATTTACTGTTTAGAAAATTTATTTATATTAAAGAAAATTTCAAACAATGTAAATTTGACTATAAATAAAATTTGACTATAATTTAAATTGTACCATAGATTTAATTTGAATGTAGATTAAAATTTTACCAAAAAGAAAATTTTGACTACAAATAAAATTTTTAACTGTTAATTAAATTTTACTCATAAATATAAAATTTGACTACAAACAAAATTTGGACTACAATTTGAATTTTGACTATAGATTAAATATAATTATACAAAAAATTTTATTACAAATGAAATTTGACTATAAATGAAATTTATATCTAAATATAATTTGACTATAGATTAAATTTTAATATAAAAGGAATTTTGACTACAAATAAAATTTAACTATTAATTTAATTTTTTAATATAAATATAAAATTTTGATTAAAATTAAATTTGACTATAAATATAAATGAAAATAAAATTTTGACTATAAATAAAAATGAAAATAAAAATTTTGACTATAAATAAAAATTAACTGTAAACAAAATTTGACTATAATAAAAAAATACAAAAAAGCACTTTTTTGAATGTAAATATTTTGAATACAAGAAATTTGATAAAAAATTGACTATAATATTAAATTTCACTATAAATACAAATTTCACTATAAATAAAAATTAAGTGTAAATAATAATTTGATTATAAATAAAAATTTATTTGTAAATAAAAATTTGACTATAAATTTATAAGTAAAAATTATTAGTAAATCAAAATTTGACTATAAATATAAATGAAAAAAAAAATTTTGACTATAAATAAAAATTTATTTGTAAATAAAAATTTGACTATAAATTTATAAGTAAAAATTATTAGTAAATAAAAATTTGACTATAAATATAAATGAAAAAAAAAAAATTTTGACTATAAATAAAAATGAAAATAAAAATTTTGACTATAAATAAAAATTAACTGTAAACAATATTTGACTATAATAAAAAAATACAAAAAAGCACTATTTGAAAATAAATATTTTGAATAAAAGAAATTTGACCAAAAATTGACTATAATATTAAAGTCAACTTTTTTTCAAAATTGTTTTTAATAATAATAATTGTTTAATTTTTCTTTCAGAATCAATTTTACAAGAAAGTGGAATCATTACTATAACGTATGGCAATAAATGCAAAAAAAAAAGAAAACAAAAACATTCCAACCTCATTTAATTTTTGAGATTCCTTTTTTTTCCTCCAAAAAAATTAAATTAAATATTTCATTATTTTGTATTTGAAATAGTTATTAAAGATTGATGTAAAAAATATTTAAATAAATTAATAATAAAATTTAAAAAGAAAAATAGTAAAATAAATGAATTAAAATTTTTTTATTAATATAAATAATTATAAATTAATTATAAATTAAAAAATAAATAATAATAAATTAATTATAAAAATTAAATAAAAATTTAAAAAAAAAAAAAATTTAAAATAATATTGAAAGACTGAGAAATGTTGGAAATTTAAAATCTTTTATAAAAAGAGAAACAAAGGTTTTCTTTGTTGAGATTTTTAAGCTCTCTTTTTCCCTCTTAAGTCAAGCGGATTCATTTAGAAATACATATATATATATACATATATCTCGTCTGGAATTGACAGAAGCTTCTTATATTAACGAGAATAGTTCTCGAAAAGTGTTACTGACTAATGGAACAAAAATAAACTCGTTTTTTTTCCCCCATATTATTATCAGATTGCTGTGTGCATTTTAAAAAAACAAATTTTCCCAAAACTCAGTGTTTAAAGTTTAATAATATTAATAAAAAAAAAAAATAAATAAAAATAATAATAATAATAATAATAAAAATACTAATAAAAAAAAATAATAAAAATAATAATGATAATAAAAATAATAAAAAAGTGGATTTGTATTAATTAACGAAAATACAAAATAAATTAAAAACTATAAATAAAAAGAAAAAAAAAATTATTATTAATAAATAAAATTAATGAGTAAAAAAAAAATAATAAAAAAAATTTTCTAATAAAAAATAATGTAAATATTTTTTATATATAAGTATAGTGTGTTAAATTTTTTTTTTTTTTTATATAAAATGGAAAATTATTTACGAGCAATAATTATTTTTTTATTATTTTTAAATATTAAAACTATTGAAAATATCATTAATAAAAAGGAGAATTTTCACGAAACATTTATTGATAATGATAAAAAAATATTTCTTAATTTTGGTAATAATATCACAAGGGATAATCAACGATATCAATTAATATCATCATTGAATCATGAAAAATATTTTCAACAAAAAGTTAATTTTTTAGCAAAAATATTAAAAAATCATGTCGATCAATTGAGAGAAGGATTAGAGATGGTATGTGTATTTTTTTTTTTTGGAAACATCAATTTTTTTTGCTAGGAATTATATTAAAAAGTTGAATTTCTAAAAAGTTACAAGTTTTTTTTTTTTTTAATTTTATTAGGTACAAAAATGTTAAATTTTTAGAAAAAATTACTTAATTATTTTTTGAAATTCGAATTATTAAAATTAAATTTTTTTTTAAAAAATAGATTTTTTTGTGAATTTAAACTTTTTAAAAAATAGATTTTTTTGTAATTTAAACTTTTTAGAAATTCGAAAATTTAAAAATTTAATTTAGAATATTTTGTAAATTCGATCGTATTAAAAATCAACCTGTTTAGAAATTGTTGCTATTTGTTCAGAAACACCACAAGAGTTCATAAACCAATACCATCATAACCTCAAAAATTGTAACTAATCTAACACAGAATATTTTTTATTTTTAAATTAAATTTTTTTTAAATGAAAATAAAAAATCACCCATAATTTTTATGGGTGATTTTTTTGCCAACCCAATTTTTAATATTAATAAAAAATTTCGACAAATCTCCAAATCACTTGTCAGATAAAAACCACTGTGCAAGTACCATAGTAACTCGTGAATCATGGGAACGTGCGAACGGAAACAACAGGGAATGGACAAAATGACGACTTTACACCATACGCCACGAACTAGTAAAATTATTATAGAAATGTCACGACTTTTCAAAAATGTCGTTAAACCGGAAGTACAGCATTTATCAAAAAAAAAAAAAAAAAAAAAATATTAGTACAAGTCAAATTACCAACTTGTGCTGTTTCTGTACAAACTGTAACTAGTAATTTCATTTTTTTTTTTTTACTTTTTGGAAATTTTTATACTTAAGTAATTTGAAAATTTTTTCAAAAATTTTAAGGTCGATCTAGTATTTCTAGTTGATGCATCAGCTTCAGTTGGATTGGAAAATTTCAAAAGTGAATTAAATTTTGTAAAAAAATTATTAGCCGATTTTACAGTCGAACCTTTAAGTACAAGAGTGGCGATTATCACATTTGCTGGTAGAAATAATGTACATCGTAATGTTGATCAAATTTCACAAAATGAACCCAATCATCAAAAATGTCAACTACTTGGCAAACAATTGGGTAACATTACTTATGCCGGTGGTGGTACTTTTACACTAGGAGCACTGTTAGAAGCTTTTGCAAGTATTTTTTTTTCTTTTTGTGACACTACAGATTTGATTTCTAATGTTTTATTTCAAAAATTTTAAAGAGCCTTAAATTTTTGAAATTTTAATTTTTCCTCTATTTATAGGATATTCTTGAGAAGAGCAGAAACGACACAAAAAAAGCTGTGTTTCTAATAACCGATGGCTACAGTAATGGAGGTGATCCACGTAGCGCAGCACAACTTTTAAAAAACGCAGGAGTGACAATATTCACTTTTGGCATTGCCACAGGAAATGTTGAGGAACTCTTTGACATTGCCAGTGAACCTGGACATATTCACAGCTATTTGCTTGATAGTTTTTCTGAATTCGATGCATTGGCACGTCGTGCTCTTCACAGAGGTTGATATAGATTTTTGAAAATTTCCAAAAAAAAATATCAATTAGCAATATTATTCACAATATTAACAGCCATTAACAAAATGAATGGCAGTTCATCGCAAAAATCGTTTACAAACAAGATGCATGAGAAAGAAAAGGAAAGAAATTTCTATTCTTTTCATGCACTTTGTTTCTAAACGAATTTTGCGAAGGTAAACTTTAGAGGGTTTTTTTTTAAATAATTACAGATCTAAAAGCAGGAAAATATGTGCAAGTTAATAGAGGATCTGATTGTGATTTATTGTGCGATAAAAGAGAAAGAAATGAAAGCTGTTGTGATGAATTAGCAACCTGCACCTGTGGAACTGCAACCGGACATTATGCCTGTTTGTGTCCTTTGGGGTATTTTGGATCCGGACTTAAAGGATTTTGCCAACGTAATGATTAGTATTATTATTAACTATACAAAATTTATTTTTATTTGTTCTGGTCGATCCACTAAAAACCACACTCTTCGACTGGATTAATCCTAACAATATATGGAACTATCGTTAAACTTCGTAGGTAAAGGGAAACTTGTCCGCTTCTTCTTGGTCGGTAACTACAAAAGTTCTCTAGGTCCTAGGATTGTCACCTTCCTGCTCCCTAGCTTATTGAATACTGCTTGCAACATTTGTTGAGCTTTTTCTTTTTGGTTAATTGTAAGTTAATACTTTAATCCACCGTCTGTACCTTTTCCATACTTCCAACCGCTTTGGTGACATCCGCGATGAATGCCTCCTTGTTGGAGTCTCCTCTCCGATTTTGATCAGGAAGTCTCCGATTTTGATCAGAAAGTCTCCGATTTTGTTCAGGAAGTCTTCGATTTTGTTCAGAAAGTCTCCGATTCTCGTAGGTCTTTTTCCTAAAACCCGTACGCGTGTGTACTGAAGTCCGAATAATGTATCCTGAAAGGTCTTAAGTCCGTCTTTAATAGTCATGTTGACATTCTTCTGGATTTCGCAATCTGTACCTCTTCGATTCCCTAAAGACTCAGCTTCCTCCTGCCTAAATACTTCTTGTGATCTTCTTCGATTGTCTCGTTGTCTAGATCAGACGGAATCAAAATCAAATCTGCATTTCAGCCACTAAATATTTTGCCCTCGTTTCACTGACAAGATCATGAAGAGTCTTTAGTCCATCCTTAACAGTCCTGTTGACGTATTTCTGGACTTTGCAACACTTTACCATCTTTACAATCTTTTTTTCGATCCTTTTGAAAATATTCAGCCCCTTTTTGCATATTTTTAGGAAAATCTCCCGTTCATCCTTAATTTCCTCAGTTGTCTAAGTAAGAGGGAATCAAAATTTGTATTCCTCGCCGTTAAGATAAGACGGAATCAAACTTCTTTCAATGCTAACACTAGAAAGGTTCAAAATGCTTCGCCTCCTAATTCCATTCTTTAATGGAAAAAAGGTATAAGAGGGATAGTTATAAATTTCTCATTGATTCGTAATATTTCCGGTAATATTACAAACCAATGAAAACGTGTAGTGTGAGGAAGAAAAAGACGCAAATATATATATATCTGTTTTTTTCTAACGCATACAGTAGTTTTACCTAATCTATTTTTAATATTAGAGGTTATATTTTTTTCTTATTATATAAATATTTGTACAGCCTGTCCAAATGGAACCTATGGATTTGATACTGTTCCTGGAGATTGGATTTCCGCTTGTAATGTTTGTCCCGACGTTAATCATATAACAAAAATAATTCCCGCTACCAATGTTGCTGATTGTGTTTGCACTTTTGGATTTATTGCAAATAACAGTAAATGTGAAGGTAATTAAATTAATTAAATAATTTATAATTACTCCAATATCATAAATTTTAATACAATTTTTGTTTTTGCAATTTTTAGGTTATTTTTTTTTATAAACCAAATTTTATAAATAATGTCCCCTTTGGTTTGACGGCTTTTTTTGAAAAGTCGTGACACTATTACAATTTATTAGTTCGTGGTGTAAGGCAGAAAGATACCAATGTTTTCATTTACAATTTGTCATAATTCTCTGTCAACTACCGCACTTTGCTCTAGGGAAAATTTAGTGACTTTTTTTAGTAAATTTTAATTTTAACTAGAATGTCACTAAATTTTAGTTGTTTTTCTATAATGTCCCTACTCGCCAAAAATCCCCACTCGCTATTTGTCATAATTCTCGCGTCAACTACCGCACCCTGTTCCAGTGAAATTCGAGTTAAAATTAAAACTTACTTGAATTTCAGCTACCGCACCCTGCTCTAGTGAAAATTTTGTGACTTTATTATTAAAATTAATGGTTACGAGAAAGTTACTAAAAATTTTACTAGAGCGGGATGCGGTAGTTGGAATTTTAGTAAATTTTAATTTTAACTAGAATTTCACCAGAACAGGGTGCGGTAGTTGACGCGAGAATTATGAAAAATAGCGAGTGGGGATTTTTGGCAAGTAGGGACAATATAGAAAAACAACTAAAATTTAGTGACATTCTAGTTAAAATTAAAAGTTACTATAAAATTACTAAATTTCCACTAGAGCAGGGTGCGGTAGTTGATAGAGAATTATGATAATTCTCCTCAACTACCGCACCCTGTCCTAGTGAAATTCTAGTTAAAATTAAATGTTACTAGAATTTCAACTACCGCATCTTGCTTTAGGGAAAATTTAGTGACTTTTTAGTAAATTTTAATTTTAACTAAAATTTCACTAAATTTTGACTGGTTTCTATTGTCCCAACTCGCAATTTGTCATAATTCTCGCGTCAACTACCGCACCCTGTTCCAGTGAAATTCGAGTTAAAATTAAAACTTACTAGAATTTCAGCTACCGCACCCTGCTCTAGTGAAAATTTTGTGACTTTATTATTAAAATTAATGGTTACGAGAAAGTTACTAAAAATTTTACTAGAGCAGGATGCGGTAGTTGGAATTTTAGTAAATTTTAATTTTAACTAGAATTTCACCAGAACAGGGTGCGGTAGTTGACGCGAGAATTATGAAAAATAGCGAGTGGGGATTTTTGGCGAGTAGGGACAATATAGAAAAACAACTAAAATTTAGTGACATTCTAGTTAAAATTAAAAGTTACTATAAAATTACTAAATTTCAACTAGAGCAGGGTGCGGTAGTTGATAGAGAATTATGATAAATGAATAAACCTTGGTATTTTTTTGCTGCCTTAAGCCACGAACTAATAAATTATAGAAATGTAACGACATTTCGAAAACCTTTTTCTTTTTTCTTAACAAAAATGTCCAATTCCAGGCGTAAGACTAGGAATGTTTCCTTTCAATAATCTAACCTCATTCATAGGATTCGGAAATTTTACAATATAATCCCAAGGATTTTCCAATTGAAATTCCGATTTTGACGCTAGCCAGCCATACTGGAAAAATAAATTTTTATTAAAAAAAAAAAAAAAAAAAAAATTATTTTTCAAATTTTGCTTAAATAATTTACTTCTCCGGTTGTTGTAACAGGAATTGGTCGAATTGTCCTTTCATTTTTATTTCTGCATACAAAATTTGTTTTCATTTTATTTCCCTTTCGTAAATTCGCTAATTCTTCTTGCATCAATCTTTTTTTTTCATCATTAAATTGATTTTTTTTTTTTTTTAGTAATTAAAATTCATTTTTATTTACAATAAAATTAACTCTTAAGTGCCAAAAAAATTTTGTCCGGCAAATCATTGCCGGAGGGCACTTAAGAGGGGTTAAATGGAAAAAATATAAATTACTTGTAATCATCCAAAATCCATTCAAATCGTTGTAACCATTTTGTTTGAATAATTTCATTTTTTTTAAAATTTTCCTTTATATTTTTTTCCACCGCCACAAAATCAAATGCCTTTTTATTACGACAATTCATTTTCGGTTATTTCAAAATTCAAAAAATTATTGACAGTTAGAAATAGGAAAAAAAAAAAAAAACAAATGAAAAATTTTATTTTTCAAGTGATAACTTGTCCAAAATTGAAAGCACCGGAAAATGGTTATTTCGTGAAGGGAAATCTATGCAATAATAATGTTATAAACGCCGCATGTGGTGTAAGATGTAGAATTGGATTTCATTTAACAGGCGATAGTATTCGTTTATGTCAAAATAATGCCACGTGGTCAGGAATTGAACCCCAATGTCTTGGTAAGTTATAATTAAAAAAAAAAAAAAAAAAAAAAAATTTTAACATTTTAATTGGGAAATTTAAATTTTTAATTTGGAAATAATTTATACTTGTTTCAAGTAAAAACTTGTCCGTCATTAAATGTACCAACAAATGGGAATATGACCTGTGAGCATGAAAATCAAAATGAACAGAGAATGTTAAATAATTTTACAATGGCACAACCAATTGATACAAAATGTATATTTCATTGTGAAAATGGCTTTCAACTTCGTGGTAGCAAAATTCGTAATTGTTTACCACTTTCAAGATGGGATGGACTTCAAACTTCTTGTAAAAGTAAAAATTTGTTTTCTTCATTGTATAAATTTTATTATCCTAAAGGCTGGTTTCCATTGTCCCCCCCCCCCTCAACCCACTCGCTATTTGTCATAATTCTCGTTCAACTATCGCACCTTGCTTTAGTGAAATTCTAGTTAAAAATTAAAATTTACTAGAATTTCAACTACCGCACCGTGCTCCAGTGAAACTAGTGAAATTCTAGTTAAAAATTAAAATTTACTAGAATTTGAACTACCGCACTCTGCTCCAGTGAAACTAGTGAAATTCTAGTTAAAAATTAAAATTTACTAGAATTTCAACTACCGCACTCTGCTCCAGTGAAACTAGTGAAATTCTAGTTAAAAATTAAAATTTACAAGAATTTCAACTACCACACCCTGCTCTAGTAAATTCTAGTTAAAAATTAAAATTTACTAGAATTTCAACTACCGCACCCTGCTCTAGTGAAACTTTAGTAAAATTCTAATAATTTTTAAATTTAACTATAATTTCACTTAAGTTCCACTAGAGCAGGGTGCGGTAGTTAAAAATCTAGTAACTTTTAATTTTCACTAGAATTTCACTAGAACAGGGTGCGGTAGTTGACGAGAATTATGACAAATAGGGATTTTGGCAACCAACCCAAATTGTATAAAAGTTGTATTTCCGGTTTAAAGACTTTTTGAAAACTATCGCACTATCCTCTAGTGAAAATTTAGTGATTTAATTTTTAATATTTTAATTTTAACTAGAATGTTACTAAAATTATCACTAGAGCAGAGTGCGATAGTTAAACGAGAAAACAAATTAAAACTAGGGAAAAATTAATTTCCCTTTTTGAAAATCCTAACAATTTTTTCTTTTCAGAAATAACTTGTCAGCCATTGTCGCCAATTGTAAATGGAATAATAACACCGAAATCATGTTTGGGACCGGATAAAATTCCCTTTGGTATGAATTGCACTTTCGAATGTAAAAATGGATTTCAATTAGATGGTCCAAATAATAGAATTTGTTTGGGTCGCCATGGAATTTGGTCGAAACGTTACAATCTCAATCGATGTATTGGTAATTCGACTTGTTCTAATTATTTTCAATTACCCTGGCAGATTGCATGATGCGAATGCTCCACAAAATTGTCGGAGCATACGCAAAAGGAATCCCCAGATATGTGTAAGAATTGTGATTAATTGAAAACCCCCTTTCCCCCTTATTTATCTTGACATAGCTCAGTATCCGCTAGATTAATTCAAAAGAGCGACATACATTTTTTGTTCGAGAATTATTGCCCAAATTTTTGGCAATATTCCCGAGACATTATCTCGACAATTTAATTTTTTGAAAATTTTTCAAAAATTTAATTGAGTGTAGCTCAGCATCCGCTGGACCAATCAAAAAGTGCGCCATACATTTTTGTTCGGAACTTTTTAAAAATTTTTTTGGGCTGTATTCCCGAACGATTATCTCGCGAATTTAATTTTTCGAAAATTTTTCCGAATTTGTTTTCTAGTTTAGCTCAGCATCCGCTGGACCAATCAAAAAGTGCGCCATACATTTTTTGTTCAGAACTTTCTTCTAAATACTATGGTGATATTCCAAAAAGAATATCTCAAAAATTTAATTTCTGCAATTTTTTCCGAAATTAATTTGAGTGTAGCTCAGCATCCGCTGGACCAATCAAAAAGGGCGCCATACATTTTTTGTTCAGAATTTTTTTCCTATTTTATTGGTGGTATTCCCGAACGATTATCTCGCGAATTTAATTTTTCGAAAATTTTTCCGAATTTGTTTTCTAGTTTAGCTCAGCATCCGCTGGACCAATCAAAAAGTGCGCCATACATTTTTTGTTCAGAACTTTCTTCTAAATACTATGGTGATATTCCAAAAAAAATATCTCAAAAATTTAATTTTTGCAATTTTTTTCCGAAATTTATTTAAGTGTATCTCAGCATCCGCTGGACCAATCAAAAAGTGAGCCATACATTTTTCGTTCGGAACTTTTTGACTATTTTTTTGGCGGTATTCCCGAACGATTATCTCGCGAATTTAATTTTTCGAAAATTTTTCCGAATTTGTTTTCTAGTTTAGCTCAGCATCCGCTGGACCAATTAAAAAGTGCGCCATACATTTTTTGTTCGCTACTTTTTGCTAAAGACTTTGGCGATATTCTAAAAAGAATATCTCGAAAATTTAATTTTTGCAATTTTTTTCCGAAATTTATTTAAGTGTATCTCAGCATCCGCTGGACCAATCAAAAAGTGCGCCATACATTTTTTGTTCAGAACTTTCTTCTAAATACTATGGTAATATTCCAAATAGAATATCTCAAAAATTTAATTTTTGCAATATTTTTCCGAAATTTATTTGAGTGTATCTCAGCATCCGCTGGACCAATCAAAAAGTGCGCCATACATTTTTTGTTCAGAACTTTCTTCTAAATACTATGGTAATATTCCAAATAGAATATCTCAAAAATTTAATTTTTGCAATATTTTTCCGAAATTTATTTGAGTGTATCTCAGCATCCGCTGGACCAATCAAAAAGTGCGCCATACATTTTTCGTTCGGAACTTTTTGACTATTTTTTTGGCTGTATTCCTGAACGATTATTTCGCGAATTTAATTTTTCGAAAATTTTTCGAATTTGTTTTCTAGTTTAGCTCAGCATCCGCTGGATCAATCAAAAAGTGCGCCATACATTTTTCGTTCGGAACTTTTTGACTATTTTTTTGGCTGTATTCCTGAACGATTATTTCGCGAATTTAATTTTTCGAAAATTTTTCGAATTTGTTTTCTAGTTTAGCTCAGCATCCGCTGGACCAATCAAAAATTGCGCCATACATTTTTTGTTTGCTACTTTTTGCTAAAGACTTTGGCGATATTCCGGAACGATTATCTCGCGAATTTAATTTTTCGAAAATTTTTCATAAATTTATTTGAGTGTAGCTCAGCATCCGCTGTACCAATCAGAAAGTGTGCCATCTATTATTATCAAGAAAATTTAATTTTTCTGAACTTTATTTGAGTGTTGCTTTACATTTAAGTTTTTTAAACTTTTTACGAACATCATATTCACTGTAGTTTGCTTATTATTTTCACATTGAACAGAAAAACACAACAAATTTATTAACTATTACTTTTAAATAATATCATTCGCGAATTATTTTCGATGCACAAAAATATGTCCAATTGTCATTATAATAGAAAACAAACTTACCGACTTTTACGTAATGCAAAACGAATTTTAGAATTAAGTGTAATTCATTTCGTTGGCCATATCTATCTTATTTTGATGACTTTGAAAAAGTGGAAAAATATGGTATTAAATGGAATTAAAATATTTCAATTTCATATACAAATATGAGATAGCTTTAATTTTTTTCAATTCCAGACTTTTTGCAGTTATGTCGAAGAATTTAAAAAATCATAAAATTTATTTAGACTTATAATAATAATACATTTTTTTGACCAATATTTCAGTTTAATAAATAAAAGATTTGCATTTGATAAAAAAATTACTGGAATTATTTAAGGGAAGGAAAAAAAAGTGCTGCCACTTACTTTCTAAAAAGTGCGGCTATAATGATTTTATCGTTAAAAATGTTCATAATAAACTGTAATACATTGAAATTAATAAAAACATTAAATTTTTATAATTATTTAACAATAATCATCATAAAAAACATAAATCTTATTTTTTTAATCATTTAACTATATATTTCATCATTTTTTATATATTTGAGACAAAATTTCAATCCTAATCTCATGTTCCACGAATGCTCCGCTAATTTTATGGAGTATTCGCATCATGCAATCTACCAGGGATAGCAAAATGTTATACTTCCGGTTTGACGACATTTTTTGAATAGTCGTGATATTTCTATAATAATTTTATTAGTTCGTGGCGTATAGTGTAATGTCGCCATTTTCTTCATTTTCTGTTTTCTCATTTCATTCTGTTCACACGTTCCTATGATTCAGGAGTTATTGCTAGTTTCAGAGTGATTTGCATCGGACAAGTGATTTGTCGAAATTTTAATTAACATTAACATTTAAGTGAAAATGGTTTTTAGTAAAAAAATGAAATTAATTCAAACGAAGCAGAAAGTGATAATACTGACAATTATGAATCCAAAACAAAAAGAATTTTACGAATTCGTTACATAAAAGAAATGTAATTAGAAATTATCAAAACTATAAGTGGCACAGTCAAAAAAAATTGAGTTGGCAATAAATATTAACCTAGATTCACTGCTAAAAATTTTGTGTAATTAATTTTTTTTATTTTTATTTGAAAAAAAGTTTATTTTAAAATAAAAAAAATTCAATTAGATTAGTTACAATTTTTAAGGTTATGTTGATATTGGTTTATGAACTTGTGGTGTTTCTGAACAAATAGCTAAACAATATTTTAAATAGGTTGATTTTTAATAAAATCGAATTTACAAAATATTCTAAGGGCGCACTCACACCTTTCGGCTGCCTGCCTGCCTGCAGGAGTTGTCATGGCAACGTGTAGGAGTAACAGAGAGAGAAAATTCAAATTTGAATTTACTATCTCTGTTACTCCTTCACGTTGCCATGACAACTCCTGCAGGCAGGCAGGCAGGCAGCCAAAAGGTGTGAGTGCGCCCTAATAATCAAAAATTGAAATTTTAAAAATTTCGTATTTCTGAATGTTTAAATTTTACAGAAAAAATTCAAATTTTTTTTTTAGTGTTAAAAAATCAGTTTGATTAGATATACAATTTTTGAGGTTATGTTGGTATTGTTTTATGAACTCTTGTTGTGTTTCTGAACAAATAGCGACAATTTCTAAAAACATTTTGATTTTTAATACGATCGAATTTACAAATACTGTAATTTAAAAAAAAAAATCAAATCAAAGCAGGGTGCGGAAGTTGACTGAGAATTTTATGACTGGAACTAGTTAATCAGGGCGAAATTTTTATCTTTTCGCCTTATAAACTAATAAAATTATTATAGAAGTGTCATATATGACTTTGTAAAAATTACCTCAAATCGAAAGTACAGCATTCGTCCAATTGGGTGTAACTAAAAATTATAAAAAAAAATAATTTTTTCATCTATAGATAAAACACCGCCGATTTTAAATTGTCCGGAAAACATAACGGTGACATCGTTACTTGGCAAAAATTACACTCTTCTCAATTGGACAATTCCAATTGCCACTGACAATTCGGGAATTGTTCCAATTGTCTGGAGTAAACCGGATATTATTTATCCATGGCGAGCAAAAATTGGATTGCACACAATTACTTATTTTACTCAGGACGAAAGTGAAAATAAAGTTCAATGTCAATTTTTTGTTAATGTCACTGGTAAATAGAAACCGTTTATTATAATTTTAGTTTTTTTTTTTTTAAAATTTCAAAATACTAATTTAATTTATTAATTAATTATTGATAATTAATTAAATTCTTAGGTAGCGTAATTAAGAAGGGGAAATCAGGGTTGGGTAGTAACGCGTGAAAACTTTCTAATTAGCTAGTTTATATTACTTATTATTAATTATTTTAATTAAATACTTAGGTTGCGTAAGAATCGTCAACGGTTTAGTTTTGAGAGGGGGAAATCAGGGTTGGGTAGTGGCGCCTCGAAACTTTCTAATTGGCTGGTAATATTTTCCCGGAAATTTACTAACCAATTTGGCATGTTTCGACGCGCTACTACCGAACCCTGATTTCCCCTTCTTAACTTCTATATATGAAGCTATGCGGCTATTTTCACATTTATTAGCAAATATTTTATAAACCAAACAGAAAAATTCAAAGCGTTATTATATACTTTTTTTTTTTATTTACACCTTTACATTTTAGACAATGAACCACCAATTGTGGAAAACTGTGAAAATCCACCAGTTTTTCTATCAGACAGTGCAACAGGCGCTGCAAATGTAACATGGGATGAACCGGTATTTTATGATAATTCCAAATATCAATTGAAAATTGAAAAAAATCACATTCCTGGCTTAGAAACATTTCCCATTGGAATTACATCTGTGATTTATAATGCCACTGATCAATTTGGTAACATTGAAACGTGTACTTTTAACATAACAGTTGAAGGTAAAATAGAAATTAAAATAAATTAATAGAAAAAAAAAAAATATAACCAAAATACAAAATTCTAAATTTTTAATTAATTTTTTTTTTTTAATGTTAAATTTTGAAAATATTTTTTAAAAAAAGGGAAAATATTGTTTTTGAATTAGATTCTTGTAAAGATGTTCCAACGCCTTTAAATGGATTTTCAAAATGTAATGAAAAAACAGAAGACGGACAAATTCAATGTTTAATTACTTGTGATGAAGGATATGCTTTTGCATTTGATTCAATAAATTCTATTCAATCAGAGGAAAATTTAATAGTCACATGCAATTTTTTGAATCATTCTTGGAATAATAGTTTTTTGCCTGATTGCTCAGGTATATTGTATTATACAAATAGTATAGTAAAATTTACTAAACTCAAATTAAAAGATAGTAACATTTACTATACTAAATTTAGAAGATTTTACAATTAACTAGAAATAATTTTCAAATAAATATTTTACTATTATTACAAAAATTATAGTAAAATTTACAAAATTGAAAAATAGTAAAATTTACAAAACTTAGTTTAGAATATTGTAAATTTTACTAACCAAAATTTAAAATGTATATACAGTGAAATTTACAATATTCGAAAACTAAGTTACGTAAATTTTACTATTTTTCAATTTTATTTATATAAATTTTACTATACTTTTTGCAATTGGTTTAGTAAATTGTACAAATTTTTTAAATTTATACTCTAGTAAATTTTACTAGCTTCTAATTCACTAAATTAAATTTATTTTGTAAATTTTACTAAATAAAGTGTAAAAGGTATGTGAAATTTTACTAAACCACATATTTAAAAGGTATAGTAAAGTTCACGATATTTAATTTAGAATATTGTAAATTTTACTAAAAGATATAATAAAATTTAAAAAATTTTAATTTTTTTCTATTTTAGTCACACAAATACCACATTCGGTCTCTCAGGATGGAATTATAATTTTTGATGGAGAAATTTGCGAAAATTCTTCCTTATTAGAAAATGTAGGAAAAAAAAAATTTTTTTACCGTATTTTTTTAAAATAAAAATGTTTATAGTGGTAAATTTTTTTTACAGTTAAACGAAAGTATAAATAAAGATTTAACCTCAAAATTACTCGAAGTTTGCGGCAATGAAATTGATTGTAATTTAGTAAAAATCGAATCAAAATGCGAAAAAATTTCTACTAATGACGAATCTACTACTAATGAGGAAGAATTAATTACATTAAATCGAACGAGAAGATTTTTCCCTAATTATTTTTATCATCAATTATCACCAGGAGAACTAAAATTAAATCAAAAAATAAGAGAATTAAATGATCAAATGGAAATTGATAAATCTCAAAGTCAAAAAGAACGACTTGTGATTAAATTTAAATTTATAGGTATAAATTCAAAAAAAAAAAAAAAAATACAAAAATTTTACCAAAAAAAAAAATACTTTTTTAATTTTAATTATTATTTTATCAAAAGCCGTAGGGAAAAATGAAACAAATTTCAATCGAGAATCAACAAAAATACGTGAAAAATTCCAAAAATTCTCATCACAATCAGAGGGGAATAATTTATTTAATGAAGAAACAAAAAGAAAAATGGAAAATTTATCACTAAATCATCGAATGATTTTGAAGAAAACTTTAAATATTTGCGAACCTGGTAGTATAGCAAGAAAATACGATTGTGGTTTGTAAAAACAAAAATTTTAAAAAAAAATTAAATAATTAATTACAAAAATAATTAAAAATTAATAATTTTTTTTCTAATAATTTTTATTAAAAATTTTTTATTTTTCATTTAGTAAAATGTCCTCAAGGAACTTTTTACAATTTAACAAAAAATTATTGTCAATCGTGTCAAATTGGAGAATATCAAAATTTAATTGGATCAATTGAATGCAAAAAATGTCCAAATTTCACAACTACTTGGAAAATACAGAGCCGAACAATAAAGGATTGTAAACGTAAATTATTCAAAAATTATTATTTAGAAAAGAATTTTTATATATATATTTTTTTTTCATCGAAAAAGTTGAATTTATTATTTTTTGAATTCAAAATTTTTAATTCAAATTAAAATTCATTAACAGCTCTTTGTCAACCTGGCTATTATTCACATAGAAAAAGACACAAAAAATTAGGAATCGCTCCATGCACATCGTGTGAAATTGGATTTTATCAATCTGAATATGGAAAAAATTCTTGTAAAATTTGTCCTGAAAATTATACAACAATAAATCGAGCCTCAAAAAGTCAAATCGATTGTATTCAATCAATTCAAGATGTTTGTAATGTTAATTTATGTCAAAATGGTGGAATTTGTCAAAGAGAAACCAATGGTTTTAGTTGTGATTGTCCAAAATATTTTATTGGTAACAACATATTTAATTAAAAAAAAAAAAAATTTTTCAAAAAATCAAATTTTTAATATTTTTTTTTTTTTACAAATTTTCTTGAATTTTTAAATAATTTTTTACTTTCAGGCTCAAGATGTGAAAAATTTCAAAATCCTTGCAATTCCTCGCCGTGTTTACAAAATGGAAATTGTATTTTGCAAAATGATACAAAATTAAATTACAAATATGCATGCAATTGCAAAAATGGATTTAAGGGAAAAAACTGTGAAGTTTGTATTTTTATTTGTTATTAATTTTTATATTTATGCATTTTTAAATCGGTTAAAAAGTACAAGAGATTTTATTTAATGGATAATTATCTTTAAATATAGGGTAAATTCACTGGTGCGCATGATTATATACTATATTGTATTACTGCGCATGTGTATATGTTATATTATACTACTGCGCATGTCTACGGACCATAGTATACTACTGCGCATCGGTACAAGCCATTATATACTACTGCGCACGTCTACGAGCCATTGTATACTACTGCGCATGCGTATTTGCTATTTTTATACTACTGCGCATGCGTATCTGCTATTTTTATACTACTGCGCATGTGTACAAGCCGTAAGGTACTACTGCGCATGCGTATTTGCTATGTTTATACTACTGCGCATGCGTATCTGCTATTTTTATACTACTGCGCATGTGTACAAGCCGTAAGGTACTACTGCGCATGCGTATTTGCTATTTTATAATACTGCGCATGTGTATCTGCTATTTTTATACTACTGCGCATGTGTACAAGTCGTGAGGTACTACTGCGCATGCGTATTTGCTATTTTTATACTACTGCGCATGCGTATCTGCTACTTTTATACTACTGCGCATGTGTACAAGACGTAAGGTACTACTGCGCATGCGTATTTGCTATTTTTATACTACTGCGCATGTGTACAAGCCGTAAGGTACTACAGCGCATGCGTATATGCTATTTTATACTACTGCGCACGTCTACGAGCTATAGTATACTATTGCGCATGCGTATTTGCATTTTTTATACTACTACGAGCTATGACATACTAATGCGCATGCGTAAGTGTGGTACTATACTTCTGCGCACGCGCAATTGCTATTTTTATAAAAAAAATTGTTTAATCCTTTATAGTATTACGTTGATGAATGTACGAGAAATCCATGCAAAAATAATGGAATTTGCAAAAGTTCTGAAACAGATTTTCATTGTATTTGTCAAAATGGATTTGAAGGTTAGGAAAATATTTTCTATTTACGTTTAATTATCTCAATTTTCCCTATGATTTAAATTTCCAAATTCTATTGAATTTCAGGCGAATTTTGTGAAATCAAATCAAATTACTGTGATCCATCACCTTGTGGCGAGGGTTCAACTTGCATTAGTGTCAATAAATCTTGGCAATGTTTATGTAAACCTGGATATTTGGGTCGTTATTGTAATTTATTGCCATGCGATTGGGCCCCTTGTCATTTAAATTCATTGTGTGTGAATATCATGGAACCGGGAGCTAATCCTAAAAGTTACAGGTGAGTCGATTTTTATCTAAATTGATCAGCAATTATTAGATTCTTAAACCGAAATTAGCAATTTGATTCCACTATGAAGACAGGATCTTTACATATGAATTTTTTATTACTCCTCCACTGTATTTTTTAACTTCTTAATCCCTAAGCTATCGATGTTTTCTTAAAGCATTTCCTTAAACCCAAAATCGTAACAAAAGAATAAGGAGAAATGGGTGACGAGTGGATTAAAATTGGTGATTAAAAAATCCACACCTGGGATCTGTGATTTGGATTGCCTCAGCTAGCCTTAGTCGGCTAATAACCACTGTCACCATGAGCTAAACCCAACAATCCGAATGAAAATAAATCTTCAAAAACCCCAGATTTTAACGGTACTATGAAGATCCGGGGTTTTTGGAGATTTATTTCCATCCGTATTGTTGGGTTTAGCTCATGGTGATAGTGGTTAATAGCCTACTAAGACTGGAGACCTAAGCTTAGGAAGCCTTTTTGGGTGCATTAGTACCAACGGAATTGCTCCAATATTTAATTGTTCCTCCATAAATCGCAGCGTTACGGTCTTAATTAGGAAAGTAGTCCGCAAAACCGTTAGGGTTAACAAAGGTTCCGGATCCCATCGAGGATCTGCAATGTCCTTACCAGCCTTGTGGAAATTCGTAGATGATCAGACAATCAGGCTCATCAACCTTGACCGAACTTAATTCATCACCGAGACTATGGGGTCCGTGTTGGTATACCTCTACAGTGAGATCTGGCACCCAAAACTTTGGAAGGACCTAAATCCTTAAACCAAGGAAGGAAATGTCCAATAAGTTCTTGAAACAAGTATTCAAGGAGCTAGGAATCAAGAAGAGGACAATTTTAGGATCCAATTGTCGAGGAATGAAACTCGCAGTTGTAGTCACCGACCGAGGACAGGTTGAAGAAATTAGGAAGAATCAAAATTACCTTATTCGATACGATAAAGTCCAGAAGGCATCAGTACAAATCTTGGATACGCGAATACCAATATTAGTACCAATCCAAGATTCGGAGACTAAAATTCGTTCTTAATACCTTCTGGAAGAAAAAAATTGATGGTCCTGGGATCTTATAAGCAAGGGATAAAGCTCGCAGTTGTAGTTACCGACTAAGAATAAAAGCAGAAATTGAAAAGCCTAATTATTATCCAAGAAGACACGAATACCAATTGTGGAAAGGCCAAAGAAAGTAAAATCTACACCGAAGATTCGGAGACAAAGATTTGTTCTTAATACCTTCTGGAAGAAAAAAATTAATGGTCCTGGGATCTAATATTAGGGGTGTAGATCGCGATTGTAATTACTGATCCAAAAGAAGCGGACAGGCTGAAGAAATAGGGACGAAGAAAAATTACTTATCTTATCCCTGAAGAGGGAATTAAGGCTAATTCTGAAAATGCAAACAGAAATAAATAGTTGGTAATCCCCAGACTTAAGGAGCAAGGGATGATGCTCGCATTTGTAGTCACCGATCAAGAACAAAAAGCAGAAATTGAAAAACCTAACCATTGCTTTGTCCAAGACGAGGAAGAGCAGAAGACATCAGTACGAATTCTGAAAATACAACTAGAAATTAAAAATTGATTCCTAGTTCCTAATTAATTCCACCATCAGAATGAAAAAGTTGATAATCCTTAGGCTTAAAAAACAAGGAATGAAGCTCGCAGTTGTAGTCACCGATCCAGAACATTTGGAGAGGCTAAAGAAATCAACAAGTCTAAAAATTGACTTCTCTAAAACGAGAAAGTTTAGAAGACATCAGTACCAATTCTGGAAACTCCAAAAAGAAAAAAAAATTATTAATCCTGGAACCAAGCGTCAAGGAATGGGGTTTAGAATTGTAATCACTGATCAGAATTCCTTACAGTATTTCCCTAGGTGAATGATAACTATCCCGAGGGTTTTCAAAAAAAAGAAGTCCTTTGGTGCTTTCTTTCCCAAATCACTTCCGAAATTACCAAATTCTTCCCCATTTAATCTATTCCATCACAATTTTTCAATTAATTTCTCTTACAGATGCCAATGTCCTGATGGCTACACAGGCAAAGATTGCCTAACAATGATAAATTACTGCAACGAAATACCTTGTAAAAATGGAGGTTCATGTATTAATGGTCCTCGAAATTACACCTGTCAGTGTTTGCAAATTTTTACCGGATCCAATTGTGAAACTGGTAACTAAACATTGCTAAATAATTATAAAATATTTTTTTTCAAACAAAATATTATCAAAAAAATTTAAATTTTGTTTCCAGAATTATTACCAAATTATTTGATGCATTTCACTAAATCGGGAACAACGGATTATGTTAAATTGACAAATTTAAAAAATGACTTGTCTGAGGTAATTAATTTTTTTTTTTGACACTTACGATGCAAAAAATAAAAATTACTTTTATTTTCTAGTTAAGTATTTGTCTTTGGATTCAATCTTTGGATAAATTCAATTATGGAACAGTTTTGTCATATGCGAATCGAATTTATGACAATGCTATTACACTTACGGATTATAATGGGTAAATTTTTGAATCTTCATTTATAAAAGTAATTAATTATGAAAAAAATTTAAGGTTTGAATAATTGGGGTAGGAGTAAATTTTTTTGGGTCCCGCCGACCCTGTTTGCTGAAACAAAGAAATTTACGGATTAGAATTTTGAAATCTCCGTTTGTAAAACTAATTATTTAGAAAAAAATTTTTAGATTAGAATAACAGGGGTAGAAATAAATTTTGTTGGGTCCCGCCGACCCTGTTTGCTGAAACAAATAAACTTACGGATTACAATGGGTAAATTTTGAAATCTCCGTTTGAAAAACTAATTAATTAGGGAAAAATTTTAAGATTTGAATAATTGTGATAGAAATAAATTTTTTTGGGTCCCGCCGACCCAGTTTGCTAAAACGAAAAAAAAATTTGTTTTCCAGCGAATTAGAAACGATTTTCTTTTCATAGATTTGTTCTCTACATAAATGGAGAAAAAATTATTACCGATATTACAGCAAACGATGGTTTTTGGCATTTTTTGTGCTTCACATGGCAAAGTAAATTTGGTGCCTGGAATGCTTATCTTGATGGGAATCTTTTTGCTAATGGCACTTTGTTGGCTAATGGGAGTTTAATTCAAGGTACTATTAATTATTATTGGCAAAAAAAAAAATAATATTAAAACAAAAATTAAAAAAAAATAATACTAAACATTTTTTTTTTTAAATTTCATTTAAACATTTTTCTTTAACTTGATTTTTCTAAAATTAGGTAATGGAATTTTTATCATTGGCCAAGAACAAGATAAATTTGGCGGCGATTTTTCTGAATCAGAATCATTTATTGGAAAAATAACACTTCTTAATTTATGGGACAAAGTTTTGGAAAAAAAGACGATAGAAAATTTTGGTTTGACTTGCGATAATTATTTTGGAAATTTAATTGCCTGGGCAAAAATGCGTGAGAATATTCAGGGCAACATTAAGGTTTAAATTTTTATTAATATATTTTTTTTCATCTAATTTTTCAAATGAAAAAGAAATTAAAAAAAAATTAATATAAAAAATAAATTTTAATTTTTTATTTCAATTTTTTTAAATTAAAAAAAAATTTAGATTTTAGAAAGTCAATTTTGTAATGGTTGCCCCATATTAACGGCGCCTTTTAGGGGTAAAGTGAGTATAAGTGAAGATAAACTTGAAGCCACATACACGTGTGACGTGGGATATCTTGTAAAAGTTGGACGAGCAGAGATGAAAATTTTAAAAAGGAAATGTCTCCTTCAAGGCCAATGGGAAGGCCACTATACTCCAATATGCACGAGTTAGTATTTTTTTAAAATAATTTTTCTAATTACCAATTTTTATTAGCCAAAAATGTTTTTTTCATTTTTTTTTCTATTTATTTAAAACAATTTTCAATTTATTTATCATTTTTCATTTGTCCGTAGTGCAATTTGTTCGAAACTTATATTTGTATAGTGAGTTTCCAATCTATTATCTAGTTATAAGTCGATAAAACAGTGTAGAATTTAGGCGCGAAATTCAAATTTATTTTAAATACAAATAATAAATAGATTTGAAAAAACATTAAATAGAGAATAATATATTTTTTTTTATATTAATTTTCCAATACTTTTTCTACTTTTATATTTTTTTAAATTAAAAGTAAAAAAATAAATTAAATTAAAAAATAAAATTAATAAAAAATATTCTTAATTATTTATTTTATGTTTTTTTCAATTATTATTATTTATTTATTTTATTATTTGATAGAAATTACAAAATAGATTTGAATTTCGCGCCTAAATTCTACACTCTGTTTTATCGACCCATGACTAGTGGGATAATAGATTGGAAACTCATTATATAAATATCAATTTCGGTCAAATTCGAATTTCGAACAAATTACAATTTAGAAAATAAATAAAAATATATAAAAATAAGTAAAAATAAATAAAAATAAATCAAAATAAATAAAAATAAATAAAAATATATAAAAATAAATAAAAATAAATTAAAATATATAAAAATAAATAAAAATATATAAAAATAAAAAAAAAATTTCAATAAATTTTTTTTTCAAATTTTATAAATTAAATTTAAGGAAATTAAATTAAATTATAAATTAAAGGAATCAAATGTGGATTTCCGGGATATTTTCCCAGAGGTTTTATAAGAGGACGTTCGTATCTTTTTGGTGATGAAATTTTCTATTTTTGCAATGAGGGTTACGAACTTAAGGGAAATTCACAACGAATTTGTAATTCCACTGGAGAATGGAGTGGACAACAACCAATTTGCGTTGGTAAATTTAAAATAAAAAAAAATTTTTTCCTTCTTTTTTTTTTAATAATTTTTGTACAATTTTTCTCTTAGAATTTTTTTTTTTAATTAATTAAATAATTTATTTAATTTAAATTTAAAGTAAAAATTTTTTTTACCTTTAAATTTTTTGGTTTTAATATTTTTCTATTTTTTAAATTAAATATTTTTTTATTTTTTAAATTTTACGTTTAAATATTTTTTGATTTTTCTCCTTTTTGTGGAAGTAATTTTTTTTTTGTTGTTTTATAAAAGTTCAAAAAAAAAAATTTTTTTTTTTAAATTAATTTTTTTTAAGGTATCACATGTAAAAATCTTTTGGCCCCGGAAAATGGTGATATCGAATATTTAATTGAAGAATACGAAAGAAATGATACAACAGTGTTGCAGGTAATTTTTTTTATTTTTTATTTTTTTTGAAATTTTTTTAAAAAAAAAATTTCCAAATTCTTAGGTGGGACAACAGTTGGAATTTAAATGTAATTCCGGCTTTCAATTGGATGGAGAAAATATTTTAACATGTCTCGAAAGTGGAATTTGGGATTATGAAATACCAAAATGCAATGCCATTGGTTGCCCTCTTCCAAAAATGTTGGTTGCAAATTTTTTTTTTTAAATATTTATTTTTTTTCTAAAAAAAGTAAAAATAAAAATAAAAAAATAAAAAAAAATAATTTCTTTTTTTCTCCTCCAGGGTAAATAATTCATACATAGCGACAATTATTTATGCCTCAGAAAATAATAAAAAAAATTTAACAAATGACACCATATTTAATCATGGCGATATTTTGGGAATATCCTGTGAGCCTGGATTTAAATTTCATAAAAATCACAATCTTCTCGCTGAATTTCGTCTACAGTGTATTAGTAAAAATTCAAATAACAATAATAATAATAATAATTGGCTTGGATTTGTACCAAATTGTATACCAAGAAAATGTTCATTTCCAAAAATACCAAAAAATGGAAAAATTAGATTTCAATTAAAAAATAATACAAATATTGAAATTTCATTCGAAAATTCATCAATTTTTAACGAATTATTAAAAAAACAAAATGAAATTGAAAATTTATTTTCACCCGGACAACGTATTACATTAAATTGTGAAAAAAATTATAAAATTATTGGTAATAATTCAAGAATTTGTACATTCAATGAAACATGGACAAATAATGAAAGTTTTTGTCAATTAAAAAAATGTCCCATTGAATTACATTTAATTTGGAATTTTTTTGCAAAATTCCCAACAAATATAATTCCATTAAATTGGCAGAAGAAGAGAGAAATTTTTTTTACAAATATTATTGAGAATTTATCAATATTTTTCGAAGGAAATTTTTATAATGATAAAATAATTTTTTCCTGTCAAAATAAAACTGCATTTAGTGGTGAAAATTTGGGAATATTTCAAATTCAATGGAAATGCAATGAGAATGGTGATTGGATTTTTGAGAATTGGGAAATTATTGATGAAAATGAAATTATTGATTTGTTTTTGAAAAATGGAGGAAAAATTTGTGAAACTGTTAAATGCAAGAGGCCAAAGGTAAATTTTTCGAAAATTTTTTTTTAACATTTAGTATAAAAATGTGACGAAAGAGAATTGAAAGAAGCAAAAAAATTATAGGTTATGTTTATGATTGTTTTACTAAGACTAAAAATTTCTTGCAAAGAAGCGTCATATTTCAGGTGCTCTACAACCACCATTTTGAGTGTAACGTCCGAAATGTGACTACAAAGGATCATAAACATAACCTATAAATTTTTTGTTTCTTAGATTTTATTTTTCAAATAAATAAAAATAAAGAACAGTAAAAAAAATTTAAATAACAAAAAAAAATGTTTTCAAATAAAGAAATTAAAAAAAATAAATATATAAAAATAAATAAAAATAAAAAGGATACAGTAACAACTGTTGGTAATGTAGGACTCTATCTTACCAGCAATCGTCAATAGGAGAAAATCAAGAATGCTAGTGAAGTAAAATTAAGATATAACAAAAATATTTACAAGACAATAACTTTAAGTCTCGTGGTTAAAGAAATTTCTGCTTTATCCACTGTTGGTTATGTAGAAATCTATCTTACCAGCAGTCGGTAATAGACAAAAAAGAGAGTGCTTCTAGTATATATAAGGGAATATATATATATATATATATATATATATATAATAAAACTTAATAAACGAAATGAAATGAAGAAAAAAAAGACAAATGCAAAAAATAAAGAAAATAATGAAATAAAAAAAAAGAAATCTAAAAATTCTTTTTTAAAAAATACATTTAAAAATTAATTATAATCAAAAAAATTTTTCAGATTCCCGAAAATGGTTACATTGTCAATGACAATCCAGAGGAAATGGATAAAAATTTCAATATTGATGATATTTTATACTTTAAATGTCGTCAAGGATTTTTTATCGATGACGCAGAATATTCAAAATGTCTTTTCAATGGTTCTTGGTCAAAAGTACCAAAATGCAAATGTAGGAAATTTTTTAAAATAAATTAAAATTTTTTTTTTTAAGTAAAAAAAAAATTAATCTTAAATGAGAAAAAAATTTTCTTATATATAAAAAAAAAATAATCTTACAAGTAAAAAATAAATTTTAATAAATAAAAAAAGAATTTTTTTAAAGAAATTGTGAAAATTTTTTACTTTTATTTTTAGAGAATTTTTTTAAATATTTTACAATTTATAAATTAAATATAATTATAATAATAATAATAATTAAAAAATATTTGGAATAACAATAATAATAATAAAAATATTTAAAATAATTAAAATAATAATAGTAAATATTATTTGTAAAAAAAATTATTTAAATTAAAGAAAATTTTTTTTTCAAATAAAAAATTAAAAAAAAAATATAAAACAAAAAAATCGAGTATAATTTTTTTTTCCTACAGCAATTGTTTGTGAAAAACCAATACTACCATCACATGCAGAATTGAAATATGCAAATTATAAACCAAACGAATATATTTTTGGAAATATGTTAATTTATCAATGTATTCCCGGTTATCGTATTTTTGGCCAAGGGACAATTCGATGTCTCTCCAATGGAAAATGGTCGAAAATTCGCGGAAAATGTGGCAGTAAGTAAAGAAGGAGACAAAAAATTTTCTTTTGTTTTTTGATATTTTTTTTGTCAATATACTTTTTTTCAAAAATTTTCAAAAAAACAAAAGTGACACAAAAGAAAAAACATCCAGCAATTATTGAAAATTATTTTCTCAAAACAAAAATAAAAAAAAAAATTTTTTTTTACAGAAATTTTTTGTGGACAACCAAAAAGTACCAACGAAATGACAATAGAGGGAAATTCATATTTTTTTCAAGATGAATTAATTCTCACGTGTCCAAATGGAAAAACAAAGGGGAAAATTATTTGTAAAAGTGACGGAAAATGGAGTGCGCCAATAAAATGTCAAAAATGAAGTGAAAAAAAAAAATTTTAATATTAAAATATTACTGATATTTATATTTTTAAAATATTTTTAAATTTAATAAAAAGTAAAAAAAGAGTAATTTCCCTTATATACTAGAAACATTCACTTTCTTCTCCATTATCGAATGTTGCTAAACTAAATTCCTACATTAACAACAGTAAGTAAAACAGAAATTTCTTTAACAAGTAGGGGAAGACGTGTAAACCCTCCCTTAAGTCAATCCCAATCATGAAAAAATTCACAAAAAAATTAAATTTTTGTTAGGCAGACTATTTTATTGCAATTTCTTGCACAAAATACACCTAAAAGTGTAGAAAAAAATTGACAGCCGAATACGAGTAGAGGAAGACACCTATTACGACCAAAAAGTCATCCGACCCATAAATCCAAATCATAAAAAAGTCCCCAAAAAAATTCAATTTTTATTAGGCAGACTATTTTATTGCAATTTCTTGCACAAAATACACATAAAAGTGTAGAAAAAAATTGACAGCCGAATACGAGAAGAGGAAGACACCTATTACCACCAAAAAGTCATCCGACCCT